TGTCCGACTGGCCCGGTCGGGGTCGTATATTCCTCAGTGTGCCGCCGGCCAGCCGCCGTTTCTCCGCCGAATCGGACCGCCGACAGCTGAGAGGGACATTACGCTCCAGTTGCAGTCAGCCACGACCATAAAACAGCCATTGTGGACGCTGATCGGCGAGAGATCGGCGTCAGTTATTTTCCCGCTTATCTGGTGTATCTTGGGTGTATCGGGGAGCCCCTGCCTCTGTCCCCACCGCCAGAGCCCCTCGGAGCTGGTATCTCATGTATGTCGCTGCTCGGCAGTAATGATTTGGTACTTGCTCTTTATCTCATTGGCGTACCTCACCCAATGATAAGCTTCAAAAGGCATATACATAATTATACAACCCTGCAATTGAGGATGGAAAGAGTTATCGAAAATACCGAATAGAAAAGTATCGCCTAATTTAGTAGCTCTATGGAATACAATTTATTTATACTCATGAACTGAAATTTATAAGTCCGAGACTTGCCTCCATGTTATTTGGCGTTTTATCCGGTAGCATCTCTCTTCGGATCCGCCACAAATCTGGATTTAATTCTTTTACACATTCATTTATCGTATCTGCTCCAGGCGCTATCTAGTGTATCTTAGTATTCACAAAGTCGCACTGAGGGGCGACACAAGCACGCTCGCAGGAGCACTCCCCTACCACAGACTAGCCCGTGAGATGATCCTGATGGGAGCCACATGTGCGCCCCAGCTCCCCACTTGCGCCCCCGAAGCATCTTTTCTATGACAAACAGCGCTCGTTTATCATGTCGCATAGCCCACACCGTTTGACTGAATGGGCGAAATTACCGCACCCTCGGCAGATGCGATCCGAAAATCGATGCATGGGCAAATTGGTGATTTGTTAATTGTCTGTTTCGTGCAATCAGAAAAATACTTTGCGTAGATAGCGTATTATCAGATCATAGAGAGAATGTGTAAACTCAGAAACTGATGGCATTGGGCCGTGAATTGTTTTGTATGTTATTGTTTACGCGAGTAGCTTCGCTTAACAAGGGAGTTATCATTACGCTGTGATGTAGGAGAGGGACGTATAATCTTTAACGTCCATTATTTCCTTCGGTAAAATCTCAATAAATTAATTATATCTAATATCTATCAATGTAGGGATATTGTATTTGAATTCAATACGGACAATAAACGGTTAAATGAATATATTTGTCGTCAGGAGAGGCTATGAAAATATTCCATCAGTTACCTATGTGAAAACAGCTGAACACAAGAGATCGTACTTGGGCATTTTTAACAACATTTGCATGGACTGACTTCATGGAATAGGTAGATCCAACACCCTACGTGCGTGTGCCTTTTCGGACCCTTGTTTTGATGGAGCCACTGCTTTCGCAACAATCCACTACAGCAATTTTCGTTCCAGCATCTTATTTACGATCGACATAGCGCGTACGCAGAATAGCAATTTGCAGGCTCTTAAGCGCAGCTCTTTACCATCTCTAACAGCACCGCTTACACGCAGCATCAAGACACAACAACCACCAATAGCCCCCACGTCGATGTTTCAATCAGGAACCCCAAGACACCTCTCTCTGTCTTTGTTGGACTCTGCAGGGGTCAAGCCACATTGTGCACCAGTGCAATAGTGCTGCAGGCATTGCTACGCAATAGTGTATCGATTCGTCGGCGTGCCTGGTGACTCGGCAGTGCTCAATCGACTTGCCCATAGCGCGTCACCATGATGACCTGCACTGTCTTTAGTTCGCTAGCCGTCCGTCGCGCTGGACAAATGGCACGTCAAGTGGCCGCAGGTGCTGTGCGGTATGCTGACGCTCAATCACTCCCGGGGTATTGCAGACTGTAGAGACCCGTCAATCACTGATGATTCAGTACAAGGCAGGAGAGGATCACGTATTAAAAGCGGGATCTTATCTTGGACTACGCAACACGTGAATGTGTTGCATTATCATGTCAACCAATGCTGTCTTGATGTGTTTTGCGACTTGAGTGACGAACACAGCCACTCTACCCGACACTAAAACAGCCATACTGAGCTCCATCATCCTCTGTATTATCTACCCACTCGCAATACGACGTCATGTCTCCCACGGTCACCACTGCTGTTCAACTGTCATAACATGTACATTGCACATCGCACGCCTTGTCAGCTGTCTGCGAGACAGCTGTTCAGCACAGCACGTGCACAATCATCACATACGCATCCGTCTCGTTGCTATTGATTTATCTACGCGTGATAAATTCACGCCGGCCTTTCCCCTAAAAAGCCGCTGTAAATCACCAGACAGGGAGGGGGAGGGGACACCAAGGGAGGCACAGGGCATCATAAATCAGTCCGCGGAGGATGCTGACGGTCTGCGCTCGGATTCACTCGGCCGGCCGCCCGGCTCACCGTCCGGGAACAGAGTGGTCCTGGTCCTGGCACGTGCTCTCTCTCTCTCTCTCTCTCTCTCTCTCTCTCTCTCTCTCTCTCTCTCTCTCTCTCTCTCTCTCTCTCTCTCTCTCTCTCTTCCCCTTCCCTCCCACATTCTATAAATCTGTGCGGCATGTGAGTGTAAATATGTGTTAATTTTCGACGATCACGGGCCGGCTTAGCATGCCACAATATGTATGCTAAGGACACGAAGGAGAATAAGAGGCAGCCGAATGCTCAAACACACCACCATATTCAGAAAAGTTCTGCTGCTCATCAGTGGGACAAAGACAATCACTGCCCGCCGCCACCCCACAAACCAATCTAGATAGATAGATAGATAATGTATTAAGACCTTCCATGACATGGATTATATAGCGTCTACGTCAGTACAAAAGTGATGGTTAAACACATCAATACAATACACTTCGTGTGATAAAAGGCGATAAATGAGACAGTAAAAAACGGCCGTTTCTATAAAATCGCACCCAATCTAGGTGAGCTCCAGCTACATCGTAGCATTCAGAGCCTTCACCGCACGGTAGAGGAAACTGCGCTTGGCAAACTCAGTCCGTACTCGAGGTAGTTCAGCCTGCCCGCTCTCACTGGCGCGTGTGCGGCGAGAGGACACATCGGACCGCGCCAACACTCGGCGGCGCAGCATCTCAGGAGCGTCGGGGCAGGTGATGAGACGGCGCATGGTGGCAATATCACGTTCAGCTATCATCTCCTCGATACTCAGCCACCCTAGATCGCGCAGCGATGGCGTGACGTGTTCACGTCTGCCGAGGCCGGTCACAATGCGGACACCGAAGTTGATGGCCTTTCGCAAGCGCTGCCTTTGGGTTGCATTACACCCTCCCCACACTGTTAAACAATAACGAATGTGGGGGAAAACGAGACACTCTATCAGAAGTTGCCTGACACATTTTGGTAGTTTGTGCCTATTACGCGCAAGACTCACTAGCACGCAGTAGCACCGTTGGACGACTGAGCTAATGTGACAGCTCCAAGACAAGTGTTGGTCAATGACGACACCCAGGACTTTGACACTATCTTTGGGAAGAATTTCATCGCCGCCGAAGTGAACGGCAAAGTCCGAACGGACTGTCTGACGGGAAGATCTTAAAATGGTCATCTCTGTCTTAGTCGGGTTGATTTTAAGCCGATTTTGTGTGAACCATTTGAGTGAAATAGCGAGAGAGCTTTCAATGCGCGTTTTAAGTGCTTCAAGGTTAGATGGGATGTCAGCGTCAAGGAATTGGGTGTCGTCAGCATACATCACGATCCTACCATGGGGTATGTGTTGTGGCAGGTCGTTCGTGAAGAGGATGAACAGCACGGGGCCCAAAATGGATCCCTGGACCACTCCATGCGTAACATCCAGCGAGCACGACCCGCCCCGCACAGTCTGCGTACGCCCCCGCAGCCAGGCTGCGAACCACTCGCGCCGCACACCGTACCACTCCATCTAGTCTAAGAGGCGGCCATGCTCGACACTATCGAATGCCTTAGACGTGTCAGCTGTCACAAGTGACGTCATCATGCCTCGATCGATGTTGTCAGTCGCGAAAGTGACAGCGTCGAGCAGCGCCGCCTCAGTAGACTGTCCTTGCCGGAAACCGTACTGTTGAGGACAGAGTACATGATGAGATGTCAAGTATGCCACCAGCTGCGTACAGACTACCCGCTCACATAACTTGGCCACGACAGAGATCACAGATATCGGCCGATAGTTGTTTGGGTCCGACGTGTCACCTTTCTTATGCAGTGCTGTGGCAGTCCCGCCCCCCGCCCGCACAGGCGGAAGCGGCCAGCTTCCGGTCTCCCGCTGTTCCGGAGCGCGGCTAGCGCATTGCCCCGGGGGGGGGGGGGGCGGCCAGCCCCGAGGCGATTACTAACCGCCCCCGGCCCCAGAGGCGGCATGGAGTGCCGAGGGGTGGGGGAGAGGGGCTCCCAGAGTGCCTAATGTGGGTTCTGCAGGCGGCGTGCCGTACCACCAGAGCCTGAAGAAATATTTGTTTATGGCAACGGCCCGAAATGGGCTCGTAGCGTGGCATTGCTGTTTTCGCGATCCATGAACATTGAACGATTACTGCCTACGAACGGAATAGACAAGAAACACTATGAGATGAGGTCCTCTTTTCTAAAAAAAAAATACAATTGAGGAATTCTCTGTAGGGCATGCTTCCTTTTTCAATCGACTTTTTGCATAACTATTTCGGTAATCATAGATCGTAAATCATAGATCGTACCTACCTATATTTTATGTTACCCATTGCTGAGAACCGCTAGTCATATCGGGGAAACTTTTTCATTTTAAAGAACAAATATATTTTTCTTATTCCCGAAAACATTTCTCCACACCCGTATTGTAAATCGTTCTGACAGGATAAGCATTTGCATATAATTATGCCGGAAAATACTCAACAAAGGTTGGTCTAGCCCATTCTTAGCGTGATCCTAGTCTAAATAATACGTGTTTGTATGCCAAATGATGAACTTAATTGCTCCTTAATAAGATAACAGTTCAACCCTCTTTTTGGCAAGATGTCAGTCCCAACAAAAGCATCAAACAGTCTGCAAGAAATCGCTTTTCATTTTGGACCATTTGGCATAATCTTCACTCGCGTTTGGCACAGTATCGTCATCTGCCGCTGCTACCGTGCTGCCACCTACCAGTTGACACTGCCATAGCGCGAGACGGACAGAGCGTTATTGACCGACTCCACTACGCCATCCCTGCTGATCTTGAGCGACTCAGCGGTTCCCTCGCGGGCATACATGGGCAGGTGGTACTGGTTGTTGGCCAGGTACTGGAGGATCCAGCGCTCCACCATTTTGTCCACTCCTCCCCTTCGGAAGTCCTCCAGAATCTTGATCAGCTCCGGCTGGGAGAGCTCGCTGTATCGGCACAGGTCATCCACGATCTGAAAAAAGACGCGGGTTGTTGGGGATCTAAGATTTTTTCCTACCATAGGGATGATAAAAACACAGCTTACCTAGTTCATTTTGAGTTGACTAGATGAGAAGGAAAACATCTCCTGAAAAGTGCATTTGCACTGAAGTACGAGTACCAAACGGAGGACGTTTTCTGCCATCCTCGAAAATTCGCTCCACCCCCTACCTTTTCCTCGAGGGTGAGTTTTCCGTCCCGGCAGAGACAGCGCTGCACGGCCCGTCTGATGTCCTCAAGAAGCACAGAGAAGCGATCGTGGAACACTAGCATTGCCCACGGATCGCGGAAGTAGGTGTACAGGTCGGTGATCAGACCCTCCTCATATCTGGCGGGGTCGGGGTAGGGGATGAGGTCGTTGGGCCGTTGGGGTATTCTTGTATTGCTGATGGTTTGGTTAAGTTCATAAATGAGGTCATAGTGAGGTCAGACGAGGCACTTTGCCGAAAACAAAACGGATGAACAGGCTTTTGGCTCCCACAGTTTCGCTTTTCACTCAAGCTTTTTTAAATGAAGAGAGGTTTCAAGATTTTACACACAAAAATCATGCCTGTTGAGTTGCAATATCTGACGACAAAACCTCCTTTAATAAAAAAATCCAATTTCATCGATTTGTTATTGCATATCACAGGCAGCTCGTTGGTTCTCCGTAACAGCCGGTCCGAAGCCTATGAAAGCAGCTCAATCCATTTCAACTCGTCTCATCTTACCTTGCCACCATGTTGTTAAGCAGCACTTCGTGCAGACCGTGCAGCGCGATAAAGTTGTCCGTTTCAATATCGTTCTTGGAGAAACAGGTGATCTTTTGCACGACCCTGTATTCGCTTATCTCGATCCGCATGTAGCCGGTGGCTGTAATAAATAAAAACGTATTATAAATCAAGCGAATACTTACCATACCCGCATTATTTGTCGTCAGAGAACAGAGACAAACGCCTGAAAGTTATGCTGTACCGCATAGCCCGGCTAGCTTCAATTCCTGTCCCTAGATGGCAGCACTAGTTGGCGCCTACATATATGCTGTACCGCAAGGCTTCGAACCATCCCACTAAAGCGCTACGAACCGGGTGAATTATTACGAAATATTCCACTTTTTCGTTTAGCTGTTTTCTTACATCAATTCATGAACACTTTGAGTTACAAAGTAGCTAGTTGTATGTAATAATTACTGTATTGTACGGCCCGATAACGACCCATACGGCCCGCTAATCGCTGCAAGATGATACCTCGGCATTAGACAGCCAGCTGCTCTCCCCGTGAACCTGGCAGGTGGACAGTCACTTTACCTGATAGGTAGACGGGGTCGCCGGTGGTCAGCACCCAGGGAGGTTTCTGGTCGGCCAGTGGCTCCGGTGCCACCACGTGCAGGTAGTTCCATCCGCCGGGCAGCCGAGCGCGGGTGACGCGGGGCTGCTGGAACTCCGGCGGTAGCGGCACCCCAGCCAGAGAGGACCTGGTGACCAAAGGAGAGACGGCCATATCAGACCGCGATCTCATTTCTTTGCAAAGGGCCCATTGCTCTTCTTGCTCTATGTCAATGACTTGCCAGATGCTGTCACTTCAAATGTGCGAATGTTCGCAGATGACACAAAGCTGTTCTCAGGCATCTCTTCTGAACATGATGTGCGGACATTGCAGGCAGACCTGAACGCCCTCGTGGAATGGTCTAGAACTTGGCAGCTGCCATTTAACGAGAATAAGTGCAAAGTGCTTCATGTTGGTGCAGCCAAGGACCACCACTCATTTCAAATGGGGTCGGACAGACTGACAAACACGTCAGTCGAGAGAGACCTGGGTGTGCAGGTCGACTCAATCTTGAAGTTTCGACAGCAAGCGTCTACGGCGGTCTTCAAAGCGTCTCAAGTTCTTGCGGTCATCCGCCGGTCCTTCGCCTTTTTAGATGAATTTACCCTGCCTCTTTTGTTCAAATCTCTCGTGCGGCCTCACCTGGAGTTCAGCAGTCTTGTTTGGGGTCCGTTCAATAGAGCTGATCAGAAGGCAGTCGAAAGGGTCCAAAGAAGAGCCACCCGGTTAGTGGTGAGCATCCGCCACCTTCCATATCCTGAAAGGCTGAAGAGACTGAAGCTCCCGTCACTGTACTATCGGCGTAGACGCATGGATATGATTCACACATACAAGATGCTGCACGGCCACGTTGATACTGATCCTTCAGAGCTTCTGGCAACGAATCCTGAAAGGCGAACTCGGGGTCACACACTTAAACTACGGAAGCCTCGTGCAACCTGCCGTGCCAGACTGAATTCATTTTCTGTGCGGTGTATTAACGATTGGAACGGGCTTCCAGCAGAAATTGTACATTCGCCCTCAGTCAACGTCTTTAAGAACAGGCTGGATGCACACTGGGAGTCGATCTGGTACTCCACTCCTGTAACAGACTGAGTACTAAGTGAAGTTATGGAAATCGGCGAGAACGGGCCCTACAGGACATCGTGCCTCTTGCCCCGATAACACGAAGATGAAGATGAAAGGACTTTGAAGGCATGGCTCTGGCAGCGATATGAAAACATGTAGTCTGGAAATGACAGCCAAAACACGAACCTACTATTGCACATTTAATGCCCTTTCACGCATCACTAAAAGATAGTTCTGTCCAGTGTCCAGCCCCACCTGATATCTCACAGGAATTAGTTATCACAGCTCATTCCTCCACCCACTCACAGACTGCAGCCGTCTCAGTCTGTGTCAGTTTCCCACCCTCCATACCTGCGCCGATCCTTGGTAGTGAGTCGTTTGGTCTGCTGCGTATCGGCGCCGTACAGACGCAGAATCTGATCACCCAGGGCATGGCCAACCTCACGGGAGCTGTACTCAAAGTGGTCGAACCGGTCGGCGTAGTATCTGAAATATGGAGGACAAGGGCGAGGTTAGGTATTCTAACGAGTGACAGGCAGACTACATCAAACGCAGTATGCACTTCCGAAATGAAATGCAAGCTAAGTATGCACATCATGATGCAGGTGATGCCGAAGATTGGATCATAGCAATTAGTTAAAACGTTTTTCGCCTTTATATCTTAAATTAAAGTATTTACCTAAATTTACCGAAAAACAAACATGAATATCGAATGACTGAAAACTTGTTTGCAGCACAGCAATATGGTGAATATCTCAATAAGTCGATGGTCGTCCACCCCAATCCCTCCCTCCGTCTCACCTGCGCGAGTACTTTGTCATGGTCCCTACGGCCTTGATATCTGGATCATTGGTGCCAAACTGGTGATCGATCACCAGCCGTCCGTCAAACACCAGTGACGCGTCGTTGAGGGCCTTGAACGTCACCAGCTCGACGCCGCGGTGATCGTAGACAAACAGTCCGCAGCAGGAGAGGTGTCGCTCGCCCGTCAGGAGCTCGCCGCCTCGCAGCTGGATGCGGTACACCCGGTTGTTGTACTTGATGTCCCAGCACACCAGCGTGTAGCCCTCCAGAATGCGGATGCCGTTCTCGGCGGCACGCAGACGGAAGAAGACACCCTTGTCTACCTGCGGGTAACAGAAAACCGTGATGATATCGGATAATGGATGGCGACAGGGTGGCACGTACGTTCAACCTATTATTTTCGGCGTGTATCTCGATGAGAAGTGTAAAAACGAACAATCAGGAGGCCCTATCTAAACACGTGCGCGCATCACATATCGGGAAAATCGGAGTTTCATGAGCTACGTAAAGCCAGTGACCCCGATAGATCCCCGAGCCTCGCCAATGATGTTACCAAACGCCTGCCTCACCTCTGGGTCGTGTGATAGCTGGGTACAGCCGCCGAGGTCGTCCAGAGGCGGCAGGACCAGCACCAGTCTGTGAGGCGGCACCGGCAGTCGCAGCAGCGTCTCCAGACAGGTCAGGGTCTCCAGGTAGCCGCCGTACACGATCACATTCTCTGCGGGAGACGTAAGGTCGGGGCAACGAGCAGTGTTACGTAATCAGTATCATCTGAGAGAGAGAGAGATACGGTTTATTGATGTACAAACACTATACGGCTTCGAGCTCAGGAGCTCATATAGCTCGTATTACGCCATGCACGTGTGGCGTTTAAGAACGTGAATAAAGGAGCCGTTGTCAGGTAAGTGCAGGTACACATAGTCCCAGCGGGAAAATGCCGCCCGCGCTGGGACAGCAGACAGTAGTCTCTGCCGGTCACCGCAGCGGTCGCTGCGACAAACACATCACACAGCTAAACACGGTTTCAATGGGTATGCACGATCTGTTCATCAGATACGCATGCAGGTCGACTGTCGAGACTGGGAGCTTCTGCCTTTAGTGCATCTTCACGACTCCCCACACTCAGCTCATTATGCAGTGTTCACTTTATCCCAGAACCCCACCGATACCGAACACCGATAACACCGATAACCCTACATCTCCTTTCTGCATCGATAACCCTACATCTCTTTTCTACATCGATTGTCTTTCTCTTTCCCTCTTACCGTTCCGTTCCAGACAATAGGCCCTGACGTAGTCGAGCGCCCTCTCTGCGTCATACTGCGAGTTCACGCGGAACACGTTCTCAGGCGCCTCCGGCAGCAGAACCGGAGGATGAAGAGGCCGACGGTCGGAGAAGGGCCGGGACGGCCGAGGCACCAGTCGAGTCGGTAGCTGGTATTGCAGGCCGCACGTCAGCAGAAGGTGGTCGTACGGGATGTCACCCACCTCAGCGACTCGGATCAGCTTGTGCTTCCTGTGAGAGGCGGTGGTGGGGAGGAGGGAAGAGAGAGAGAGAGAGAGAGAGAGAGAGAGAGAGAGAGAGAGAGAGAGAGAGAAGAGAGAGAGAGAGAGAGAGAGAGAGAGAGAGAGAGAGAGAGAGAGAGAGAGAGAGAGAGAGATAGCGAGAGATAGGGAGAGAGAGATAGAGGGAGAGAGAGAGAGAGAGAGAGAGAGAGAGAGAGAGAGAGAGAGAGAGAGAGAGAGAGAGAGAGAGAGAGAGACGTGTACAGTTTAGTTAAAGCGGACATGTTGAAACTGTTGTATGTATTACGCATACCACAGTCAGTTATGAAACGGGACAAGGATGCTCAGGCATCTATGCAAGCTTTAATTAGGTTGACGTGACGAGCAAGAAACCCTTTGAAGTTTGAACTAACGTCTACCAGTTCCTTGCCAACATGAACACATTGAACACATGACACACCCTCAGGTGGCCGAGCAGGGGAGCACAGTGACACCGCCGACCCCCAGTCCTCTCGTTCACTCACCTGTCAATGGCCACCATCACCCCTCGCACCAGGTTCACCCAGACGTGCAGCCACATGGTTCCCAGACGCTCCGGAGTGAACTCCTCCGTCGAGGTCCTCATGGCCGCGGCCAGCTCGTCCCCGCCGCCGTCCGGGAAACCGTGAGGATCTACGAGCGTGACGTTGGTGAACAGAAGCTGCCGTGAGAAGGCGAGCCGCTCGAGGATGGCCAGACCGGCGTCACCACCGCCCACTACCACGATCCGACTGTTGACCCGCCGGCGACGTCGAAGGACGGTGGAACGGGAGGCAAGCTGGAGCGCCAGCGGGTCCCGATGCTGCAGGATGTGCGGCTTGGGTATGTTGACGCCGAGGGAACCGTGAGATAGAGGATACTGGATCTGACGACGCCACGTCACCGGACTCAGCGCCTCGAGAGACGAGGCCAGACTGTGACCCTCGACGTCCTCCGAACCAGGTGGGAAGAGTGGGTAGAGCAGGACGGAGAGACCAGTCAGGCGCATCACTTCACCGAGGACGACACGAGCAAACCGGCGGAAGATTGGGTTCAACACCATGTGATACAGGTGACCGAATCCATTATCGTGATGCTCGCACGTCACGTACTCCTCGATCTCAAAGTGTGAGCGAAGGTACTCGACTTCCATCTCGGGTTTCAGCACAATCACCCCCACCACCTGGTCCTGACAGCGCACCACCAGCACCGAGCTATGCGCCGTTCCGCTGAGGAACATCTCCCGCACCGTCAGCATCAGACTCTCAGCGCTCTCTGTATGCTTCACCAGAGTGCGGATGGCACCCAGGTCGGCGCTCTTGGCACTCGTCACAGTAAAATCAGTCACCAGCGAGGCGCGGTGGAACACGAACAGCTGGTCAGGAAACGTCGAGGTGGCGCGGTGCGGCACTCGCGTGAAGAGCTCCATCAAAGGTGTCTCGGGCGCGTCGGCCGGCACCGTCATCACCAAGTAATCCACGTCGCGCATGCGATCCAGCACGGCTGGCAGAAGGTCGATGGAGCGGCACGCATACTCATCACGGATACAGAACAGAGTCACGGCAGCGGCGTTCGGCTCGCCGTGGTACTCTGGCACCGGGCGGGGTTCAGGAGTCGGCCCGGTGGCCGGCTCGGCACCGACGCCGGGGTGCACGCAGCTCACCTGACGTGTGACGGTGCCGTCCGCGGACACGGGGAAGCCCCAGATCAGCTCGAGCACGGGCCGCGTGTCGTCCGGCTCTGTATCGTTGGGGATCGGCGCCTCGTCTACCTCGGGTAGGCCGAACCCCGGCTCGAAGATCGCCGGACCCCACAGCTGTTCCAGCATCGGAACCTCTCGCTCGACGGGCGGCTCGTCGGTTGTCTCCGAGACGCCGACGATACTCCGGATCGAAGAGCCCGACGCGGCTGTGGCAACATCAGCAGAAGTTTCCCTTTTTGTGGCGGCTATTTGGCTGACTTTCGCATCGGCCCCAGTAGTAGACTGTTTCCCGTCGGCAGCTTCTTGATCAGTTTCAGCTCCAGTTTCCTTCTCTTCTCTGCCCTCATTTATGGATTTCGCTGAATCACTTGCCATTTGCTTCTCAGAAAATTCACGAGAACGGAGAGCAGACGGACGTACGCCGAGCACCTCTTCACTAAGTTTCACCCTGAAGCCGGTCACATCGTCCGGGTCGGGCTTACGCAGGCCATGAAAAGGTGCCAGCTCGAAATTGGCATTCAGTGTGTCCAGATCCACCTCAGTAGTCACACTCATCAGCCCCACAGCCAACTTGTCTACTTCAACCACCGCTGAGTAGGATGACTCGCGCTCGTCAGCAATCACCTCAGCCAGAAAATACTCTCCAAACTTCTCCTTAAGTCGCTCCTCGTCAACATCAAACATGGGTCGCAGATCGTCGTGGTCCTCGAGCCGCGCCGGTCTGGTGGCGAGGCGCGGAACGAAGCGGCGTCGGTCAGCTTCCAGCACTAGCTCCGGGTTATTCAGCGACGATATCGGTCGAAAACCGATCTCCTCAAGCCCGTGCACATCGCTCAGCTGACAGCGTGCCACGTGAAAGACACGCTCCAGGTCTGGCACGGAGGCAAATAGCCACGTGAGGAGGGCCATCTCCACGTGCTCGAGGGCCGGCCGGGCGCACACCAGTCGCGTCTGGAACAGGACCGTGGCGATGCTGAGCGGCGCCGGGCCGAGCAGCGGCGAGCAGTTGCGCAGCCAGCCGCGCCACGGTTTGCCGCGCAGCAGCGTCTCGGTGGGCTGGCCGTCGAACACGGCGAACCCCTGCACGGCGCCCAACTCGTCGACGGCCACCAGCGAGAGAGCCGCGTGCTCCAGCAGCGGCTCCAGCTTGGAGAAGCCGTAGATGTTCTGAGCCCACTTCTCGTCCCACTCGAGGCTCTCGATGCTGGAGCGGTCGGCGCGACCGGCGCGACGCACCGCGAGCCGCGGCGTCGGCGAGCTGCCGTCGGAGCCGGCAGCCGCCAGCGCGATGTGGCGCTTCATGCCGGCACTCGCCATGGCGGCAGATGGCGCTGGATGTAAACACCGTCTGAGAATGGAAATGGGCGAGCCCTGAGGCCACTGAGATTAAGTGATCACATTATCAAATTAAAAGCTGCTGCTATAGCTACATAAGACTTAATTATTGAATGAGACCGAGAGAATAAAAATGATCAAAGCGCTCAAATCCTTGCTCAAAGCGGACATAAATTCAAGGGTTCGTTCGCAGGAAAAAGGGCACTTAATCACGCGGCAAATTGCCTAACTGGTCCACTGGCAAAGAGATCCCATAATAAGCACATGCAAAGGCCACTAGACGCACCCAGGACATTTCATCTCAATCCACGCATCGAATTATGTTGCACGAGATCCGCCTTCAGGGCATACCGAGACACACAACAGTTTAACCATATGTAACTGTATTTAACTGATACAACTCAGAGAACACCTGATTAAACGCAATGAAAAGCAAGGGAACTTCCCTCGTCTAGCGCCTAAGGACTAACCTGGCAAAGCCGGCAAGAAGTGTAAATACTACGCATCTAATAGGATAAACATGTAAACATATATCCACAGCCGAACGACCAAGACGCCCCCTAATTCGTACAATGGGGCAACGTGGGTATTAACTAGTTCCTACATCTACAATAGGGCTGGTATCGTCACCCAGAAGCGGCGCCTCGTAACTTGGGCGCAAATGTACATTGGGATAAGCATGCGTACATACATTCGATTATCCATTAATGCCACGCAATTACATTGAAGATCATATTGCATGAAGCCATTGACTGCGATACTGCGGGCGAAACTTATAACACATGGAGCAGCGACAACCCAATCACTGGAGTAGTTAAATAGAGGTGAAATGAGCTAATTCAACATATCGGGCACCACAAACAAAACTACTGTTGAGACATACGAATCAGATCGGTGCACAAAGACATGGGGACAATAACACAAACGGCAGGTGCTTAATGATTTGGCGTAAACCACCGGACAACCTGACAAACTAGCATTACGTCGACAAAAACTCGGCAATGTCTACCTGAATTGTGGTGAAAATTACATTGACGACGGAATCATGTCACAAACAAAACGGTCTCACTGCCGGCAAAACCACACAATAGCGGAAGATAAGAGGAAAGTCGTGTTTACATCCGATATTGAATTTGTGACATGTCTCATCCACAAAAGGTTAGCCGGATATCTAAGGGATTGCGAGGACACTGTATATCTGAATGAAGGCGTCAGCGACACCTCGCCTCCACTCACGAGAGTGGGTCGGACTACTACAAGCATTGGTAACCACTCTCGACTAATTGCTTACTGGATAGCGCTTCCCTACCGATCACTCAATATACAAACACGCGACACGGTCTCAATGCGAAGCAACGGTCACAGTATGATTTGATTCTAGTCCAGTCAGGGTCCCAGCGGGGTTGGACTTCTCCCCACACAGACCAGGCCATTACGCATCGCTTGCAGCCAGGAGTAGCGAAAAATCAGCCACGCAACATAGGCAGTGGAAATGAGGGAAACACGACAAAATAATCGCACAAGAGCGCTCAAGCGTTGTTCCAACCACTTACACAGCATTCGGTGGTATAGTTGATAGCGTGCGCTCCTAAACTGTCTGATCATGCTAACCAGATCAGCTAATCTACTCATTTGGCTATTGCAATCCGACTCACTAAGAAACTGTGTCTACAACGGAAGCATTGACATCTTCGACGGCAATGAAGAAATTAGTATGCTTTGGCGTGTGATAAGGTATCACAATTGCTCGCATGCTTTCATACAACAGAAAGGAACGATAAATCATTGCACACAAGCGAAGGAGCTCAAAGTACACATACGCTGTACCATCAATCACCTCTCACACTGTTTGTTAACGCATTCACGTCTCAAAACTCTTGCTTTTACACAATACCATTTCATCATTCATCCATCAAGCAATCCAGTCGCTCATCCCACGTCCTCAAGACTGTCCTCACAGCGAGTACCTCTCCTCTTGAAGCCAGAGTCCTCCCTCTGCCCCTTTCCTCAAATCACCTGGATCCTCGCGGTTCCTTCCCATGTCATGAAAGATACTCAGTGTCCTCAGTCCTCACTGTCCTCACCGTGTCCTCAATGTGTCCTCACTGTCCTCAGGCGTCGACATTGTCCAGCAGTCTGTCCTCCTCAGTGGGAAGTCCAGCCCCCTGTCTGGGACGGCGACGGTAGAGGGCGATAAAGAAGCCCATCACCACCGACTGGAACGGAACGAGCGGACATGTCAGAGCGGAGACAATAAGAAGAAAGAGAACGCATAGGGCTGGTAGAAGAAAATAGAGACAAGGAGAATTGAGAAGAGTAGGAGAAGAAATGAGGAAGAAGGAACGGTGACAGTGGAGGAGTAAGAAAAATAAAATAAGGAAGAACATAAAAAGGAGAAAGGAAGGGAAAGGGAGAAAGAGAGAGCAAGGAGTGTATGGATAAAACGAGCCCCGATTCAACTCCGTAAACCGCACAGTCAGCAGTGAGAGGCTAATGTGAATGCGAAGCAGCTGACATGTTAAATGTGATAATTCAGCACCGTTCTGTGGGTGACTGGCACGGAAACCAAATAATCCTTACACAAAACCAGTGCAAAATGATTTACAGGCTAATGCATACTGAGCAGATCATAGCAAAAATTCAACAATGAGTATGAATCACCACAAAACGAGGCGAGCACATACGTCGTGTTGTGTGATAAGCAGCTACGCGACTTTAGCAATAAAATGAGCGATACAGAAACTGTCAACGATTTTCACAAAGCAAGACTAACCAGTAACCACCATTTCGATTCTACCCGTCCTTACCAGGAGGAAGAGCCAGGTGGCCCAGTAGAAGACGGCTCCGAAGATCCAGGCCTTGTAGGAGAAGCGCAGCAGCAGTAGGGCCATTCGGCTGAGAACACACTCGCCGGCCGGCGCGCTGGCAGTGCATGGCAGAACCTGGGGAGGGGGTAGATAAATGAGAATATTACCCCGTGACCAGTCAAATAATGGGTGTAATACGGGCAGTGCATCAGTAAGGGAAACTTTATCGTGCAGAGGTGGTAAAACAAATTTTCTATCACAAGACGGGTATGTATTAAGCCGCCAAAGGCTAACCAATAACCCCCTCGCCACCATCATTCCTCACAAGCTCTCCAAATCCGCTACAGAGTCTACACCTTCCCCCATGACAGAGCCCCCGCGCTCCCCGGTTCTATCGCCCCATTTATCAACTTTCCTCCCCCGCTCCCGCCCGTCCCGACCGTTGCACGGACCCACCTCTCGTTTCACGCTGTTGTCCGGCTGTACTTCGTCCTTGATGTAGTGCTGGTCGCCGTACATGGTGTACTGGGGCGCGATCGAGAGCAGCAGCACATTCAGGGCTAGCAGCACGTACACCAGGCTCAGCACCAGCAGGATCAGACCGTGCGCCGGCGTGCGGCCCGGGCGAATCGAGTACAGCTATTGGGACAGCGAGGGGGAGGGGTCACTCGGGAAAATATTGCTGTAGATATCAAGCTATTCATTCAGGTTTATCAATTCTATGTTATCAATTCAGCTTAGTGACTAGGCTTCAGTTCCAATTTCGTGATTCACAAACCTGTCCAGTCTAACAGCTCCTACCTTGCACATTTTCATCAATGATCTGTCACACTGTCACACCAGCGTATCTATTCTGAAGGCCTCATTTTACGCTCAATTTGACGTCGACTATACGGAATTATGCTTTCATTGACGTCCTATACTCACCTTAACGGCAAACACGCGCACGCCGATATCCTGGATGCAGCTGACAGTGGCGCCGACCAGGGTGAAGATCAGCACCAGGTAGAGGATGTAGTCGAGCGGGTACAGTCGGTCCGACTCCGAGAGAAGCCAGTCCATCGGGTTGGGCAGCTGGCGCTCCGGCAGGATGTACCCCGTCTTCATACCCAGCGAGTGCAGCGCCTTGTCGATGCTGAGGGGAGGGAGGGCGAGTGTCAAGTGACTAAGGTTTGATTGCCCGATTTGAGAAAAATGAGGTTTGAAGAAAAAACTAGCAATTGATAACGATTTAAGAGCAAGTGCAATTCAAGTTCGTAGCGTTAATGAAAGAGATGAGCATAATTTGCAAATAATCTTAGCAAGACCTAAGAAATCTAGAGCTACATGTTTCAATACACAACAGCGATATAACATCCTACAACATCTCCAGTCGCTCCGTTAATCCTTCTAATCTCTGCCTCCCAGCGGCTCTAACGCACTCACTTGCTGAGCAGCAGGGCGGTGAAGGTGACGGCACCAGTCACCAGGACGGTGATACCCAGAACCACCTCGAAAGGACGGAAGAAGCCACTGCACCTGACGCAGACAACGCGTTGGGTGAGAGCGAGTGGACGGACGATAGGTAAGTCACAATCAGTCAACAATCAATCATAGTAAAACGGGTAGATATATAGGCAAGTATGTGGCAGGTACAAATGACACTGAATGCAGAATGTCTTTACGACTACAATAATCGAGGCTTTTAGGACGACATGATTACAATGCATTCCAGTCATTTATGCGCTCACGTGACACATTGGTGAGCTCACGTGACACACAGCACGCCACCAAAAGTCGGTCAAAGAACCCATGAAGTCGGGAAGGCGGTCAGTAACACGAGATTAGTGGATAAGAACGATCAGACAAACATTGAGATAAGTTACGACAAAACGATATGCCCGAAAAACATCCAGCGGAGACGACGATCATTCTGTTTATGAAAACCCGAGTGTCGTTCAGCTTTCAAACGCTTTTTTATCGTATGCTGACTAAGACAAGGAAGAGAGCGAATTCAAAAAGACGACAAGGAGAAACGTACGGTTAGTAATAATAAAACCACATCATTATAAATATAAATAAACATGTCATTAATCTATAAATAAAATCGAGCATCCCGATCAAAACGAGTACCAATCGAGGACGCGTGGTTGTTTGCTAGGTCATGAGGCAAGACAGCGATGAGCGAGGCCACACTACCGACAACGGACCATCATTCACACCAGCCTCCCTTCCACTCTGTCCGGACCCCTACCTGTTCATCCAGTTGCCGACTGCCTCGTTAAGCTCGGTCTCGCGGCGTCCGAGCACCGCTTCTTCCCGCTCCAGAGAGTTCAGTCGGTCCACCTGCCACGACGGGAACGTCGAGTAGTTGGCCTGCAGCGCGGAGGTCAGGTCAGGTCAGGTCAGATCAGATC